CTGCGGGTAAACAGGTCACGATTTGAACTCTGATAGAATAAAATGAAAGCTCTTTTTGCTGTTGGCATTGCTACAGATTTTAGATCGGTGGTTCCTTGTTCACCAATTTCACGAGCATGAACCAATCTCCCCCTACTCCCTCCCTCCCTCCCTCCCTCCCTCCCTCCTCTCTCCTCCCTGCCCTTCTTCCTCCTCCTTTTCTCCCTCCCTCCCTCCGTCCCTCATCTAACCATCCATTCTATTCCATCCATCAGGGTTGCACACCCCGACGGTCGGCGGCCCTTGACTGGTCGGCGACCCTTGACTGGTCGGCTGCCGACCCGCCGACCGATCGGCTGGTCGGCACCTAGCAATCGGGGATCATCTGCACCCCGGACTTTTTTTTTTTTTTTTTTGGGATCCAGGATCCAGAACCCCTAATAACCCCACCCACACCCCCATAGCGGCCCCCAATACCCGCATACACCAACCTAACACTCCCGGACCGCCCTCAACATCCTTATTAACGCCCCCTATATTCCCTATATCACCCCTACACTCCGCCTATACTCCAACCCATACCTGCGTCGTATCGCGTGCGCGCAAGCTCCGCACGCACGGCGCATAACGCACGTGTAAGCATGCACGCGCACGTGATGCGACACACCCCACTAAATAAGGTATAAAATTTTTTTTGGAGAAGGCTGGCTGAGGTAGCCAATGGTGCACTTCCCCACAAAAAAAAAAAATAGGGCCCACGCATTCCTTTTTGAATAGTCTTTTTCGCAGAGGACCCCAGCAGTACAAATGCACGGGTCCCAACATCTCAAGAGATGTTCAGCAAATTTCGTATGAAAGAAGAGCAGGCCAGCAATATATCTTCTGGATCCGAAGTCAGGTCTGCTTCCGAGGAGTTATGGGTTACAGGTTACAACTACTTATTACCGTAGCTCTCTCTTTCTTTTGTTTCTTTTTCCTACGAGCAGTGGCCCTAAGGGCCTTGCTCCACTCTTCACCAGCACACAAGACAGAACATATGGCGGCGTATGTGTTCCATGTTCTAGCAGAAGATTCATTCCTCTATTTCTTTTGTTTCCTTTTCCTACTACAAGTGGCCCTAAGGGCTTTGCTTCACTCTTC